ACTTTTAAGGATACTATCTAGGCCTTTTTAAAAGACCTACTGTGGTTGTTAGTGAAGACTAAATGCACTTTGGATTTGATTAGATTACAAGGTTTAAGGCCCACCAAAGACATTTATCCAGACCACCGGAAAAAAGAACTAGAAGAAACACCCAGCACTGGCAGGCCAATAGCTAGGCTGCTTGCTGAGTCCTCGGCCATGAGGACCCAGCGAGCGGCAGCCTGGAAGCCCAGGATTTCACCTCCTTCAGGCAGAGGAGCAACAGGAGAGGAGGAGAGCACATCAGGCACAGTGCCCAGTGCATTGCAGTGTCAGTGTACAGTGCATTACAGTACAGTGCATTACAGTGTCAGTGTCCAGTGCATTGCGGTGGTCAGTGTGTCAGTGTACAGTGTGTTAGAGTACAGTGCATTGCAGTGTCCAGTGTGTCAGTGTACAGTGTGTTAGAGTACAGTGCATTGCGGTGTCCAGTGTGTTAATGTACAGTGCGTTAGAGTACAGTGCATTGTGGTGTTCAGTGCATTACAGTGTACAGTGCATTTTGTTGTCCAGTGCGATACAGTGTGCAGTGCATTGTGGTGTCCAGTGTATCAGAGTACACTGCGTTACAGTGTACAGTGCATTGCAGTTTCCAGTGCGTTACAGAGTACAGTGCATTATGGTGTCCAGTGCATTACAGTGTACAGTGCATTTTGTTGTCCAGTGCGTTACAGTGTGCAGTGCATTGTGGTGTCCAGTGTATCAGAGTACAGTGCGTTACAGTGTACAGTGCATTGCGGTTTCCAGTGCGTTACAGTGTACAGTGCATTGCGCTTTTCAGTGCGTTACAGTGTGCAGTGCATTGCAGTGTCCATTGTGTTACAGAGCACAGTGCATTTTAAATATTGTATTGTTTTTTTCCAGTTTTTTTTCACAACAAAAAAGATATGTGCGGTGTGCATAGGAATATGTACATATTGTTTTCAAACTATAGTCCGGTCCCCCAACAGTGTGAAGGTCAATAAACTGGCCCCCTGTTTAAAAGGTGTGAGGACCCCCGTTCTAAAGGACCCCCTCAGGCTGGCAATTGGAATTGGAAGGAAGGATATTGCAGCTCTCCAAACAAAAAACTCTACAGGGTGGCGGAAGTGAATCTGAACAGTAAAACAGAAAATACAGAGCGCACAACCGCCCTAGTGTAACTCCATTTATTAAAGATAAAAATACATAAAAGTGATTGCACTGACATCGTACAATGAAATTAAGGCTCTCTCAGTGTAGTAGCAGTCCTCTATATCTTCCTAGTATTGTGGCCATCAATATGGTCATAAGCTGATGGCTGAGTGGCTTCTCTGATAACCGGAACAAACTGTCGGAGCGTTCCGCTGCTAGTGCGCATATGCCTTGACCAGCCGACGCACACTCAATGGATACCTCTCACAACTACGGAAGGGAAAGGAGGAGGACATGGTTACTATGATGATGAGTTTCGGAGGCATGGCCTCCTTTGTCAAGTCTTTAATCAATACAGTTACACTAGGGCGGTTGTGCACTCTCTGTCTTTTCTGTTTTACTGTATAAATGTTGATTGCCTGGCTATTTCTGCCTACACCTTAGAACAAGCTTGCAATTAATGTCCGAGTAATAGCATCTTCCCTAAGCTCTGTACATATTTCTGTCATGTTTGGTTGGGATTCTCAAGCTTACAGTCTGCAAGCTAGGCGGTGGTGTGCTCAGAATAGGGGGGGAATTTACTAAAACTGGAGCACTCAGAATCTGGTGCTACTGTGCATGGTAGCCAAACAGCTTCTAACTTCAGCTTGTTCAGTTAATCTTTGGCAAAACCTGGAAGCTGATTCTATGCAGAGCTGCACAAGATTTTGCTAAATTTTAGTAAATAATACCCATGGGTCTAGTGGTCTCTAAGATTCTACTCAGGACACCAGGGACACTAGGAAGTAACTGAGGGTCACTAGGAATCTACTTAGACACTAGGAATTGTCTCAGGAAGGCAAAGACTCAAGGATTTCTCTGCTAGGAAACACTGGGGAAATCCATTTGGAAATGCAAAAACACTGGGGGACCTTTTGCTAAGAATACTAGCTGTTACATAGGCAATGAGCTCAGCTTAAATAGAAAGGGAGGTGGCCTAGTTGGGCTGGGCCTTTATTTAACTAAACCAGCATCAGGTGAGTAACCAGTCTTGAACACAAGTCTTGTGGGATAACAGATCAAAGCAGAACCTTGCAATTTAAAGCTGTGAAACAACAATTATTGGCATGCCTTCTTGTGTTTGGAAATAGAAAAGCAGTAGATATGTGAAAGTGACAGGTTGAAGTTTCAGAAAGTAATGAAGCCAGAGCATTAGCATGACATATAGCCACCTAGCTTTCTCAGGAGAGGTTCACAAAGACAGTCTTCATATTTTTCTTATGACAGGATTTCTTTAACCACTGATGATCTCTGTACATGTCTCCTCCAAGGAATGCCGATTACCGGTTCTCCTCCTCATGAGCTGTCAACGTGACAGCTCTTGGGGAGAGAAAATGCCGATAACCGACTTTTCCCTGTTTACATGTGATCAGCTGTGATTGGACACAGCTGATCACATGACCTAGCTGACATCTTCAGCTCTTTCCATTGATCTGTGATCTGCTGTGTCCAAGGGACACAGCGCACCGCCGATCGCCGCGCATGCGAGGTTAGAATTGGAGGACATCATATGACGTCCTCCCACAATGATGGAACTGCCTTGCGTCTGTCATTTTACTATATGGCGGGCGGGAGGCAGTTAAAGTGGTTCTAAAGTTTAGGCATTTTTGTACCTTAATGTCTTCTTAATCCTCCCCCCCCCCCACCACTCCTAAACACTTATCTGGCTCCTCTCACTGATTCAGCACTGTCCCATCCACAGTGCTGCTGCTCTCTCTTCCTCTTTTCACAAGAGACTCTGAGAGCAGTGAGAACCACAGGCTGCTGCTGCTCTCAGTCAAATACTGTGAGGGAGGAGTGAGTGCGCTATGTGTCTATGGACGCATACAGCCTGGCTTAGGAGTAGGGTTGCCACCTCATCTCTTTAAAACCGAACATATATTATTTACACAGGATCTGTGGCTGATTAAGATGGCAATTAAACTCACTTAGAGCCTTATGTGCATTAAATTAGCCTCAGAACCTGTGTAATTAATATGTGTTTTTGCGTTTAAAGGGAAGAAGTGGCAACTATACTTAGGAGCACATCTGCATGGGTGCCCCATCAGCAGTTGGAGTGGAGAACGCCAACAGTGACTCCAGAAGAGGAGGTAAGAGACCACTCTTTGTAATACCATTGCATAGAGCAGGTAAGCATAACTTCTTTTAATGAAAAAAATCCTTTACAATCACTTTTAAGAAAGAAGGCAGGAGGCAGGCTGAGGGGCGGGGAAAGCACACTGAGGAGAAGGAGACAGAAGGAAGAGGTATGCTGCGAGTCGTGGGAAAGGGATGCACAGTAGGCACATTGCAAAGCTGGGAGAGTGGAGAGGGTACCACGGACCAGCACAGAGAGAGATCAAGGTGAAGAGCTCTGACAACTGGAGAGGGAGGAGCAGCCAGTGATAGTCGGCGCAGGAGCGGGGACCACAAACCAAAGCTGTGGGAGACTTAGGTAAAGAGCACTGACAACTGGACAGGGAGCAGCAGCAACTTACAAGTGAGAGAGGGCTCAGGACTAGGGACACAGAGGAGGGCATGGGAGTTGTGACAGAGGAGCTGCTGGCATTTGACAGGTGGAAAGGAACACAGTGACAGGAGGAGCTTCAGGCATGGTGTGAGTAGCTTGGAGTACCAGAAGTAACTTTAAGTCATGGGAGAAATCTGTTAGTGGTTTGGAGTACCGGGAGTGACTGCAGGTACCTTGGAGAACAGAGAGTGACTGCAGAAACCTTGGAGTATTGGGAGTAACTGCAAGTACTTTTGAGTAGTGGGAATAACTGCAAGAACTTTGGAATGCTGGGAGTAACTGCAGGTTCCTCTGACTACAGGGAATAACTGCAAGTGCCTTGAAGTGTTGGGAGTAACTGCAGGTTCCTTGGAGTGCTGGGAGTAACTGTTAGTGTGTTGGAGTACTGGGAGTAGCTGTTAGTGAATATAACCCTATTCTGTTGCGCTCCCAAAACACTCCAATATATATATATATATATGTATAATCTCTGATCTATATCCTGAAAACATATGCAAAAAAGTGGGAAATAAATTATAAAAAATACCTTAACCAAATAACATGTAAAATTGCCTAATTAATTTTAAAAATATAACCGTGATTATACTGAAATAAAATCTGTGATCAAAAAGTGACCTAAATTAATATTACTTCACTTATAAGAAACAATACATACAAATATCTTGAATAAAAATAAATGAATTAATTAATATATCTGTGAAAACAGTGTCCCATACAAATAAAAGTGACTTTGTGCTTTAATTAATCTTCAATCCATAATTACCGTATTTTTCGCACCATAAGACGCACTTTTTTCCCCCCCAAAAAGGGGGGAAAATGTCAGTGCGTCTTATGGAGCGAATATAAAGCGGCCGGTCCGGTATTTTTTGCACCACCATGTCAGAATACCGGGCCGGCCGCTCAGCTGTTGTCTCCTGCAGGGCCTTACCTGTTCCTCGCTCCAGCGCTGCACAGTCTTCCCGCGCTGGCTTCTGTGACAGCCGGGTGCCCACTGCGCATGTGCTGCGCTTTGTGAATGATCCGTGTCTTCTGGGACACATGAAGGGTCCCAGAAGGCGCCGGGCCATTCACAAAGCGAAGTGCTTCTCGCACCTGCGCAGTGGGCACCCGGCTGTCACAGAAGCCGGCCCGGGAAGAAGAGGAAAGGCAACTCCGCGGAAGTGGGAGCGGGTACCTGTCAAATTCAGGTAACCGCTCCCCCTCCCTTCCCAAAGGTCAGCAGTCTCTGGTCATCCCCTGCACTGTCTGCAGTCTCTGGACATTCCCTGTACTGTCTGCAGTCTCTGGTCATTCCCTGCACTGTCCGCAGTCTCTGGTCATTCAATGCACTGTGTCCGCAGTCTCTGGTCATTCCCTGCACTGTCCGCAGTCTCTGGTCATTCCCTGCACTGTGTCCGCAGTCTCTGGTCATCCCCTGCACTGTCTGCAGTCTCTGGTCATTCCCTGCACTGTCCGCAGTCTCTGGTCATTCCCTGCACTGTGTCCGCAGTCTCTGGTCATTCCCTGCACTGTCCGCAGTCTCTGGGTCATTCCCTGCACTGTCCGCAGTCTCTGGTCATTCCCTGTACTGTGTCCGCAGTCTCTGGTCATCTCCTGCACTGTGTCCGCAGTCTCTGGTCATCCCCTGTACTGTGTCCGCAGTCTCTGGTCATCTCCTGCACTGTGTCCGCAGTCTCTGGTCATTCCCTGTACTGTGTCCGCAGTCTCTGGTCATCTGCACTATGTCCGCAGTCTCTGGTCATCTCCTGTACTATGTCCGCAGTCTCTGGTCATCTCCTGCACTGTGTCCGCAGTCTCTGGTCATCTCCTGCACTGTTTCTGCAGTCTCTGGTCATCTCCTGTACTGTGTCCGCAGTCACTGGTCATCTCCTGTACTGTGTCCGCAGTCTCTGGTCATCTCCTGTACTGTTTCTGCAGTCTCTGGTCATCTCCTGTACTGTGTCCGCAGTCTCTGGTCATCTCCTGTACTGTGTCTGCAGTCTCTGGTCATCTCCTGCACTATTTCTGCAGTCTCTGGTCATCTACTGTACTGTGTCCGCAGTCTCTGGTCATCTCCTGTACTGTGTCCGCAGTCTCTGGTCATCTCCTGTACTGTGTCCGCAGTCTCTGGTCATCTCCTGTACTGTGTCCGCAGTCTCTGGTCATCCCCTGTACTGTGTCTGCAGTCCATTGGTTCAGAATATTTTTTTTTCTTGTTTTTCACCTCTAAAACCTAGGTGCGTCTTATGGTCAGGTGCGTCTTATGGAGCGAAAAATACGGTACATGTAAATCCGTGACTGATTGTGAATCCTCCCATTAGTGCAGATGTACTCTCACCTCCTTATCTGCCTATAATTAGGCTATATGCGCTTTCGGTTCTCCTCCTATGGAACCTGCTTGATTAAGACTCTTTCTTTTAGAATAATGGATATCCGTTGTTACTGATATATGCTCTGGGATTGATCCCTTCTCCAGAGGATGCAACTCCTCTATACTCTCATCTCCATACGACTCTCCACATGGAAAAAAGATCTGAACATGGTGTTTTATCCTTTTTAAAGATTGGCTTTATTGACTCCAAATATTGCACTCACATGTGTTGTATTCAAATATAAGCGTTCCACAACATAGACCGAGTCCTCCGCTGACTGTAAGAGGCATGCACCCGTGGTCCGGCAAACAAACTGACTCCCTCCGAGTGACGTTGCAGTCCCACCCCTACGCGTTACGCCACTGGTCACGTGGCTTCATCAGGGGGATTTGATTCCAATCAAATCGCCCTGATGAAGCCACGTGACCAGTGGCGTAACGCGTAGGGGTGGGACTGCAACGTCACTTGGAGGGAGTCAGTTTGTTTTGCCGGACCACGGGTGCATGCCTCATACAGTCAGCGGAGGACTCGGTCTATGTTGCGGAACGCTTATATTTGCATACAACACATGTGAGTGCAATATTTGGAGTCAATAAAGCCAATCTTTAAAAAGGATAAAACACCATGTTCAGATCTTTTTTCCATGTGGAGAGTCGTATGGAGATGAGAGTATAGAGGAGTTGCATCCTCTGGAGAAGGGATCAATCCCAGAGCATATATCAGTAACAACGGATATCCATTATTCTAAAAGAAAGAGTCTTAATCAAGCAGGTTCCATAGGAGGAGAACCGAAAGCGCATATAGCCTAATTATAGGCAGATAAGGAGGTGAGAGTACATCTGCACTAATGGGAGGATTCACAATCAGTCACGGATTTACATGTAATTATGGATTGAAGATTAATTAAAGCACAAAGTCACTTTTATTTGTATGGGACACTGTTTTCACAGATATATTAATTAATTCATTTATTTTTATTCAAGATATTTGTATGTATTGTTTCTTATAAGTGAAGTAATATTAATTTAGGTCACTTTTTGATCACAGATTTTATTTCAGTATAATCACGGTTATATTTTTAAAATTAATTAGGCAATTTTACATGTTATTTGGTTAAGGTATTTTTTTATAATTTATTTCCCACTTTTTTGCATATGTTTTCAGGATATAGATCAGAGATTATACATATATATATATATATATATATATATATATATTGGAGTGTTTTGGGAGCGCAACAGAATAGGGTTATATTCATAATTTTTCACACATTGGTTGTTATGTGTTAGATGTTTGCGATCCTACCATATAGAGGTTATACATTTGATGTTATATTAGGGTGACCGTTTGTTTTTTGGCTCGCAAGATTCTTTAAATATTTTATAGTAGCTGTTAGTGATTTAGAGTACTGGGAGAAACTGTAAATAACTTGGAGTACTGGGAGTAACTGCAAGTAACTGATAGTATTGGGAGTAACTGTAAGTAACTTAGAGTATTGGGAGTAACTAGGAGTGACTGGGAGTATTGGGAGTAACTGGGAGTACATTGGAGCATTGGGAGTAACTGGGAGTAACTTGGTGTATTGGGAATAACTGAGATTAAGGAGTGCGGGGAGTAAGGAGTAACTCGGAGTGATTTGGAATAACTTGGAGTAGCTTAAAATAAAAAAAACTATTTAGGGAGACCAGTCCTGAGTTGATACATCAATAAATATGCCAAGTTGTATGATGTTGGGGATATCAGCTCAGGGGTGGCACAGCTGGAATGGTCTCCCTGCCCTAGCTGGCAGAGGAATGACTGCTCTGGTAAGGAAGGGGGGCAAGAATACAGGCAGGGCTAGGTGGATACTGGTGGTAGGGGACTTAATTATCTCTTAGATTGTAATGAGCAGGGCCCTCTGAAACCTCCTGTATTTTGTATTGTAATTGTACTGTCTGCCCTTATGTTGTAAAGCGCTCCGTAAACTCTTGGGGCTATATAAATCCTGTATATTAACAATAATTAGGAGGACAGATAGGACAAGGACTGTGATCGCTGAACGTTATGTTGTTTACCAGGCGCTTGGGTTCGCAGATCGGATGGTCAGATTGTTGGGCGGGGCTGGGGAGGACCCAGCTGTCATGGTACACATTGGTACCAATGACAAAGTTAGAGAAAGGTGGAGTGTCCTAAAAAATTATTTCAGGGACATAGGGGCTATATTGAAGAAGAGGACATCCAAGGTGGTATTCTCAGAAATACTGCGTGTACCTCAAGCCTCACCAGAGAGGAGGCAGGAGCTAAGAGAATGTGACAAGCGGCTGAGGAATTGGTGCAGGAAAGAGGGTTTTGGGTTCCTGGAGAACTGGGCTGACTTTACAGTTGGATACCAGCTCTATAGTAGGAACAGACTGCACCTTAATGGGGAGGGTGCAGCTTTGTTGGGAGAGAGGATGGCCAAAAAGTTGGAGGGGCTTTTAAACTAGGTGGCATGGGGGAGGGATCAGAGGAAGCAATAGCCAACAGCAAGTTAAGGTCAGAGGGTGCTATAACCATAATACATAAACCTGGGGTGAGTGGGCTGGCAAAGCATATTCACAGCCACAAAAACACTAAGAAGGAAATAATACAAGCTGGAACAAAATTAAGAGGCATGTACGCAAATGCTAGAAGTTTAGCTAACAAAATGGAGGAACTAGAGCTGCTGACTTTGTAGGAATATCAGAAACTTGGTTTGATAGCTCACATGATTGGTCAGCATCTATCCAGGGGTATTCCTTGTCTCGGAGGGACAGGGAGGGTAGAAGAGGAGGAGAGGTTTGCCTGTATATCAAAAATTATTTTCTATAAAACCACAACACCATAAATGTGGTTATATTAAATATACAGGGATGGAACCTCCAGAGGTGATAACAACCCCATAGCCATCCTCCACATATGCTTCTTGATCAAAAATTATTTTCTAGTAAACTTGAGGGACTACATTGCAAATGGGGTATGGGGTGAAGTGGAATCCATGTGGGTGGAACTCCAAAGGGAAGAGACATGTGGGAAAATAATAGTAGAGATATGCTACAGGCCCCGTAACCTGAAGGATGAGGAGTTGGATCTCCAATCACAGTTAGAAATGGCAGCAATGCAGGGCATGGTCATCACAATGGGGGACTTCAACTAACTAGATATTGACTGGGCGGAAGGAACAGCTCACTCATATAAGGTCCGTCATTTCTTAAATGTCTTATAGGACAACTTCATGAGGCCAGTTGGTGCATTCCTAGATCTATTAATCACAAAGAACACCGATCTGGTTGCAGGTCTGGAAGTACAGGACATCTTGGGAAACCGCGATCATAGGATAATTACATTCAGCACAAATCAAAGGATAAGGAGACACAGTTGTAGTACAAAAACACTGAACTTCAAAAGAGACAACTTTTCTAAACTTCACTCAATACTACAGGAAATTTAAATGGGACCAAATCCTAGAAACATTGAACACTGAGGAAAAATGATAATGCTTTAGGAACATATTAAATAAAGGTATTATCCAGTGTATTCCAATGGGCAATTTATATAAAAGAATGAAGGTTAAATCTGGTTTGCTAAACTGTAACATAAAAAGACATGTCAAAGAGAAAAGAATGGCCTTCAAGGAATATAAGGCAGAGGGGTCATTATCAGCATTCTAACACTACAAGGAATACAATAAAAAGTGTAAGAGAGCACACGGTAAAATAGACTACAAGACACAGCAAAGGAAAGTAAAAAAAATCCCAAGAAATTATTTAAATATATTAATAGTAAAAAGACAAGGTCTGAAAATATTGACCCCCTAAAGGATGGTGAAGGAAAGCTGGTTACAAATGACAAGGAGAATGCAACTGTATTGAATACATTCTTCTCCTCATGTTTTGCAAAGAAAAAGGAGGGGTATAGTATTATTAGTAACACAGCACGGAACGTACCCTTGTGACTAACTGGAGACATTGTTCGACCAGAAAAAAAACCTCAACACAAATAAATCATGAGGACCAGATGGCTTACACCCTAGAGTCCTCTAGGAATGCAGTCAAGGTATTGCCAGACCGCTATACCTAATTTTTATGGACAGCATACTGAGAGGAATAGTACCAACTGATTGGCGAAGGGTCAACATAGTACCACTGTTCAAAAAAGGGCAGAGACATATACCTGGAAACTAAAGACCAGTCAGTCTAACATCAATAGAATGTTAACTAATTAAGGGACTATATCTAAGAAAACAGATTACTTAGTAGTAACCAGTATGGATTTACGAAAGGTTCTTGCCAAACCAATCTGTTAACATTCTATGAGGAAGTGAGCAGCCATCTAAATAAAGGAAGTGTGGTGGCTGTGGTGTATCTGGATTTTGCAAAAGCTTTTGATATAGTTTAACATAAACGTTTAATTTACAAACTAAGATCTACAAGCATGGACCACAGG